CTCATTATTTCCTTCTTAATGCGGATGTGTGCGTTTGTATGCACCGCAATTCGAGGGTGCGTTGATCTCTCTCTTTCTCTTCATACTTCTCTCTAATCTTTTTGGTTCCTGAGTGTTGGATGGGCGGACAAGAATACATATAATCATATAAATAAATAAATATATAAATATATATGTATATGTATGCATGTATGTATATTTTATCGGTTTAAGTTCCCCCAAATGCAAAAGAAAAAAAAAAAAAAAAAAAAAAAAAAGAAAGAAAAAAGGGAAGGTATTAAATAAATATATAAAAATTTCTCTTCCGGGCATATGTGGAGTTCTCGTGACATGTTGCCCGCGCCACTCTTTTTTTTTTTTTTTTTTTTTTCTTCTTCTTCTTCTTCTTCTTCTTTTTGTTTTCTCCTTTTTTTTTCCCCCTCCTCCCCTCCCTGTGGATGTAAATACTCACATAATATCACACTTCTCTCTGTCCCTCTGTCTCTGTGCATACATATTTATTTATATTTTCATTTATACACGCATGCATGCATGTATAAATGCGTAGGCGTTTATTTAAGAGGCACCTGCCAGAAAAAAAAAAAAAAAAAAAAACGCAAAAAAAAGAAAAGAGAAAAAAAGAAGAAAAAAAAAAAAAAGGGGAAACTGAAATTCAAAGAGTGGGTGATATAACGAAAGAAAAGAAAAAAAAAGAAAAAAAAAATACCTTTTTTTAGGAAAAAAAAAAAAGAAAAGAAAAGAAAATCAACAACAAAAAAAAGAAGAAGGAAAAAAAAAAAAAGTCACCGAACAAAACAAAACAAAACAAAACAAAAGAAAAAAAAAATTATTTGTTTTTGTTTTTTTTTTTTTTCTTCCCCGCCTCTCTCTCTCTCTTCTCGGGGTTTATTTTTTGTTTGTTTTTCATGACCCTTCCGCCTCCTCTGTATTCCTCGCCCACACCTCCTCCATTTCTTTACCCATTTGTGGTCCTTTCCTGGTGGTGCGCCCTGGGCCCGCTGGACGCATTCCCCTCCCTTCTTGCGCATATTTATTCTTCATAGAGGACGTCATACTCACAGACACAAATAAGGTCTGTCAGAATACACATCCTATTAGCACTCACATTTATTTTGGGTTTTTTGTTGTTGTTATTGCAACATAATACGTTTCCCACCCGTAGCTTCTTTGAGCCTTGCATTCTGGAGCTCCGTCTCATCTCATTGTACTCTGTACTTGCGACGCGGACTGGCCCTCCCTTCACCGCTGCGTAATCACAGCATATCGACAGCCGAAAAAAACACATACAAACACATACAAATATATACACACAATAAAAACGTACACGCAATGAAACACACGCACACACACACAGAAAAAAAAAAAAAGATTTTTCGGTCTAACACCACTCCACCCCCCTTTTGCAAGTGAAAGCATATCCGATAGACCAGCTCCCCTTTATATGAGCAATCCAACTTCTTTGTGATCATCAATCCAATCTTTTCTTCCTCAGCTCATTTTCTCCTTTTTTTTTTTTTTTTTTTTTTGTGTGTGTGGCGTTTTTCTTAAGAAACATTTGTTAATTAAACCGGTACCCAGGAGGCATTCCGGAAGAAATCATCGAGGTGGTAAACACCTGTTGCGGCTGTTGACTCGTAAGATATACAGGTCTTGCAGAGTGCAGTTGCTGCTGGAACTGATGAGACTGCTGCTGAATTTGCTGCTGTTGAGCTTGCTGTTGAAGATGTTGCTGCTGCTGATTTTGCTGTTGCTGGTGAACCTGTTGGAGCGGATTCAAAGTCAAAGCCATAAGATATTGCTGTTGACCGTTAGCAGAAACAAGCGCATAACGCTGCGGCGCCGAGGCAATGTTAGCGTATTGTGTCGTTAAAAACTGCTGTGGTATAGAGCCTGGCTGTTGCTGTTGTTGCTGCTGCTGCGGTTGCGGTTGCGGTTGCGGTTGTTGGGACACATACTGATGTTGACTCTGCGCCTGTGATGGTGACTGCCACATATATTGCATCATTGCTTGGAGCTGCTGTTGCTGTTGCTGTTGCTGTTGTTGTTGCTGTTGCTGTTGCTGTTGCTGTGCTTGTTGTGATTGTTGCGGCTGTGGCTGTGGATGGGGCCGTTGCTGTTGTTGTAATTGCTGTTGCTCCATTTGGGCTTGAACAAGCGTGGGAGAGAAGCTGCTGGCTCCCTGGGAAATATGCTGTGTGGAAAGCATCATTAACTGGTAGCCCGTTGTTCCATCAGCGGTTCGAACAGGGACTAATACCTGTGCATAACCTGGCGGAAGAGTTCCCGTCACATGTTGCGTCTGAGACTGTGACTGATGCTGATCTTGCTGGACTGAAGACTCTAACGAATGCGAAAGGGATTGTGGGAGAACTGGTGGCTGTTGGTTCACGTTAAGCGGCTGTACCATGGCACCATTTGCCACCGGTTGCGTTTGCAGTTGGAGTTGCGGCTGTTGCTGTGGCTGCGGTTGCGGCTGCGGCTGCGGCTGCAGTTGCGGTTGCAGTTGCAGTTGCGGTTGCATTTGTTGTTGCGGCTGAGGCTGAGACTGTGGTTGCAATACCATTGGCCGTGATTGTAAACCTGCAGGGAAACCATTCGGTGGCAAGATCTGGGCATTTGAGCCATATGTGGCGTACGGCAACTGGGGAATTGAATGAGCAGTAGGGCCTGGACGGAGATTTTGTGCTGGAACAGTTTGATGGTTTTGAGGCATCGACGTCACCCCAGGCGGCTGCTTCGCCGGAACGCCGCCCACCCATCCGTATGGCGGAGGAAATTCTTCTTGATGCGAATACGGCGGCAATGGCTTGGGAATCGCGTCCTGCACCAAAGCCGGTGCCATCTTCAGAACGCTAAGTTCACTAGGTGGGGCCGGCGCAACCGTAAGCACTGGCAAACGAGGATTAGAATTTTCGTTTGAAGTTTGAGTAGGTGTCTGTGGGCCACTTGATGTCAGTTGTGGATGTCCCCTGGAGTGGCTGCTAGAAAAGCTTTGGCCCTCTATTGGTTCCATCACACGAGACGTCCTCGGGGGGTTGCGGGGAGGCGTAATGGTTGCATTTGACAATCCCTTCGCGCCTTGCCCGCTTCGCAACTCATTGGCGCTACTTTTGTTGTTGTCATCCGTTGCGTTGCCTACTGCCGAGCCCAATATTGGCGAATTTGCCGCAGCGAGACTCTTTTTATTCATATCCTCATCGTCATCGTCATCTATAACCATCATTTGCCGCTGAAGGTCCTCTGTAATGCGTAGGAGCTCAAGGTCATCATCCTGCCGCAGACTGAACAGCTTCTCGTAATCAAAGTCGCACATGGATCGTAACGGTCTTGCGCACAAAGGGGAAGTAACAAGAGGTGTATGTATATGTATATATATGTATATATATATATAACTTTGTATTTTAGGCCCCTACGAGAGAGATATCCTTTGCTGTCCACGCTGAGCTTATGGTATTGGTTGCTTTTTGGTATTGTTGTTTCTGGATAGACTTGCCTTTCCGCGAATTGTACTCTCCCTTCCTTCGCTCCAATCACCCTCTCTCCTTCTCTCTGTCTCTCTTTTTTTTTTTTATGTGTGTGTATGTGCTCTAATTCCCCGTTTGTTTGATAATACACCCCTCCTTTATTGTTTGTTTGTTTCCTCCTCCGATCTGTTTATTTCCCCCTCTCGATGTTTCAGTTGCTGTTTCGACGGCTCCTCCTTTCAATCACCAACTGCTGCTTCTTTTCCCTTTTCCCTTTTCTTTTTTTATTTGGCGTGTGCTGTTTCTCGAATCCCCTCTTTACTTTTCAGCAATGGTGTGAGTCACGTGGATGCAAACTGCGTGCGTGTCGTCCAAATGCCACTCCAATCTCGTATGCCTCGGTGTATGTGCGCTGAAACTTCACTCTCTCTTTCTTTCTTTTCCTCTCCTGTTCGTTGTTTGTTGTTGTTGTTGTTTGCAGCCGCTGTCTCTTCAGCTCCTCCCACGTCTCACTATGAAGGCAATGTTGATTCTTTTCGTTTTCCTCGATTCTTTCCTTTTTCTCTGTTTGTTGTTGTTTTGGTTTTTGTGTTTGTTTTTTTGTTTGTTTTTCTTTTTTTTTTGCTTTGCGTGTACTTTCTCTCACTTCTGATCCCTTTCTTTTGTTTCTCTTTTCCTCCCCTCTTTCTTCCGCTCCTTCTGTGCGAGTTTTTTCGCTGGTTGCTGTTGTTTTTTTTTTTTTTTTTTTTGTTTTTGTCTTTGTTTTTTGTTTTGTTTTTACTCCTTTTTTCTTTTTTCTTCTTTTCCTTTTCGTACTGTTCTTTTCTTCTTGTTTTTTGTTTTCCGTATAAATATAGATAGATATATTGTATGTGTATAGATATAGATGTATGTATGTTTGCTTGTTCCACGGCTACTGTCGTCCTACAAAAATAAATAAAATATGCGCTCGGGTCTTCGCTTCACTGTAGAGGAAATAAATGAATGAATGAATGAATGAAAACAGTCAAAGACAAGAGAAGAGAAGAGAAGAGAAGAAAAAAAGAGGGAGAAAAAAGCGTTCATGTGAAGCAAAACATGCCACTTGACTATCGTAGGGCGAATCGTCATGTACAGAGAGAGAGAGAGAGAGAGAGAGAATGCTGCTGAAATTTCAGAGGGACGTGTCTTGTGGGGTCGGCTCCCCTCCCCACCCCCCACAACAACAACGTGAGACCCCCTTTTGGCTTGTGTCATGAACGCAGCGTCAATAATAAACAAACAAACAGAAGGAAAAGGGAAAAAAAGGAAAAAAGAAAGAAAGAAGGATAAAACATGCGCAAACAAACCAGTCCTCTCGTCCCCCTCCCACATCCCTCACACACACTCTCTCTCTCTCTCACTATCCCCCCTTTTCGTTTCGCTTCTTCTCCTGCGCACGAGGTACATTTATCCCAATGATAGGATAAAAAAAGAAATAAAGAAAGAAGACAAAAGCAAAAAGAAATGATCAACGAGACGCCCCGCACGCACACACCAGCCGACTGGCACAACGGGCTACGCCAGCTCGGGAAAGGGTGGGGCCCCGGCGTCCATGATGGCGTACATCCGCACAAGTGAAGCGTAGCCCTCCATGTCACCAGCCCGCAGAAGATTTCCCGCGTCGCAGTTGTAAGGACTGTCTGGCTCCGGTTCTGCCAACAGATTTAAAATGGCGCGGCACACGCTGTTCAGAGTCCAGGCGGGGGACCAGCGACTCTTCAGAATGTCAAGACAAACGGCGCCGGTGTCAAAGTTCACATTTGGATGAAACACTTTTGTTACAAAATTCGCTGTGGGCGGGAGCATCGGGTAGTCCTGCGGTATGCGGAGAAGCAAACGGTACTCCCCTCCCTCAAAGGGCGTGTCGGGGGGGCCACGGAGAACCGCCTCCCACGTGAATAGACTGCCGGCGTGGAGAAGATGCAGATCCATGTCACTGTCCGGGTTAAGCGAGGCTTCCCGTAGTTCTTTGCTGAGACGCTTCAAGGCAGTAGACATTTCTTGGCCACCTTTTCTCTTTCCGTCCTTCCTACTCTTGCTGCCTTCTATCTGAGAACCTCGCTTCCCCACCACCAGCAGAAGTGGAGCAGCCGAGGCAGCAGGGATCCACACCGGTGATGCGTATGAGTGGACGCGTCACGAGTACAGTAATGGGAAAAAAAAAGAAAGAAAAGAAAAGAAACTCTTCACCAGCCACCGGCATCCGTTAAAGCCGTACCATCGCTCTCTCCCTCGCTTTTTGTTTTTGTTTTTGACTCACTCACTCACAAAAAGAAAGAGAGAGAGAGAGAGGCATTCCCTCTCTCTCTTTCTTTCCCTCTCCCCAACATCCCTTCAAAGGGCGTTTGCAC